CGCTGCGATCCAGCGTTACCACCCACGATTGCCTGGCTCAACTGCCTTTGGTCGGCCCCTCCTCTCTAATGCTGTTACGACTAGCTAAGTCGTGATCTTGCCTATTATGAAGCCAGCTTCGTCGAAGTTGTAGACGTCCTTGTCATAGATGCCGTACTTAGCCTTTGTCTGCTCTACAAGCTCAAACCAGCTCTTGATTAGGACTGGATCTTCACATAGAGCTCTCTGCCTATCGTACGCTCGATTGAAACGCGTCGTAAGACTGTCTGTACGCTTGACAAAGTTGGCTGGCCACTTCTGCCCAACCTGGCCAGCGCCGCGCGCAGCCAGCAGCTTATCAGCCATATCGCGCACAGCAGCATACGTGGGCGCAAATCCACGTAGATCTAGATCAATTATATGATTAACTATCACCTCCTCTTCTAGCTTAGTGAGCTTCTTTGAGTTAGGCTGGCAATCGCGTCGAGCAGGTATACTAGCGCGTCGGCGGCGGATTGTTCGTTTAGACACGTTATAGACAGCAGCAGCGCGACGATTACTTTGTGTTTGATAGAGATTAATAGAAGAAATAGCAAGCTAAATATCTGCTTTATTTAAAGCTAATTAAGTAGCGCTACGTTGAGCCATTGTTCGTTGAGATAGGAGAGGTGCGCAGGTTTGGTGGGGTGCGGCGCTCGCTTACCTGCGGCGCTCGCTTGCCACATACGTTAGTACGGATAAATGTTAGGCTAATATAAAATATCTACTTATGCATAGCGTTATTCTTATGCGTATGGATAAAAAAATAATACATAGCTTTACTTACCTCTCTTTTTATAGCTATAATAACATCTATATAGTAATTTTAAGGGGAAAAAAAATAAAAGTTATACGACGTTTTAAGGTTTCTTTGTATATAGGTTTTAGCGTGTGCAGGGGTAGTAGGTGGAGAGATGGATTTCGTTGTTTTATTAACATATACTAGATACATAACTACATACATACATACATACATACATACATACATACATCAAGCACAGCCATGGCTCGCCCGTCCAGTCGCCCGCGAAAACAAAAACGCAAAGTCCATGCCATTCAAATAGGCAGTTCCGGGCACGTGGGGCCAAATCCAAATCCATGGACATGCCGATGCCGGCTACATTTTGTGGGGAATGGCTCCAGATAAGTAGCAGCGCCAATAGCCATGTGCGGCTCTATCGCGGGCTGATCCCAAAGACGGCATTTATCAGCCCTTCTCGGTGGAATTGGTGCCGAGGGGACGCGACCAAGTATGGCAAATGAGGCGGACCATGATGCTAGGAGTGGGGGCCTGGGGGGGTTTTTTTGACGGTGCTACTGCTACTGCTACTGCTACTGCTACTCGAAAGTGTATTTGGATTGGGTCGCTGGGGAGGGGAATACATGGACAAGGGGATTATGCCAGGAGTACTGGTGGTTCTGCTACTCTAAATGGGGGTGGCTCGAATTGTGCAAGTATCACAGCCGGTGATGGCAGGGTATGCAATGCTAGTATGATGCATTGACGAGTTTCCACTCAAACAAAGTCACCATCTCGGCTAGAGGAACTTTCGAGTAGTATCAAAACGTGGAGACTATTTACGAAACAAAAAAAACCACCCACTCCAAAATCCATCCAATTGATGGTATATGTACACCTACCCAAGCCGCTCACTTATTGAGTCGCTTGGCCCGCTCGGGATCCCTCCACCAAGCACACTGCTTCATCCTGATTGCTACATCTTCGTCTTCCATCATAGCACCACCTTTCTCCGGGGGACTAACTACCAACTGTCGAGTTCCCGTGCCCTCGTACTTTTCCCATTCCACTGTACCACCAAGGCGATGCGTGTTGGGGTTTCCGCTGACGACGAAACTCGCCCAGTAGGCGCTGTAGACATCTGCGATTGCTGGGTATTGCGTGTTTGCCTGGCCATTGAAGTAGGGCGCATCGCTGGCATGAGGGACGCCCCTGTACGTTGGCGCCCAGTTGGGTGTGTTCCAGCGTGCCTTGTATACAGGTGCCGAGGCGGCGGAGAGAAGAACGGCAGTGTCCTGGACCGGGCAGATGTAAGAGTAGTCGCCATATGCGGCAGCTAGGCGTTCAAACTGGTCGGACACATAGCCCAACGTACCGGGCTCAGGGGTTTGGTTGGGGTAGAGCGTCTCCAGGTCCGCGAGGTCCGCGGCGTTTAGGCCGGGGGAAAGTGTTTTCCAGAATGTCAGATACTCTGAATCTTTGCGCAGTTCTTGTGGCACAAAAGCTTTGCCCTCGTCAGTGGTGGAGGAGATGAGGAGGGGAATCTTGAAGAATGTGCCTTCTTCGCCAGACGTCGATCCGCGCTTCTCAAAGAGCGGACCCGGAGAGACTGGCTGCCAGGGCCACGTGATGTTGGCATTGTGCGCGTTGTAGATTGACGAGGAAATGAACTGGATGTCAGTCACTTCTGATGACTGCAGACACTCGAGGGCTGCTGAGTTGGGCGACTCAGGGCAGTTCAGGTAGTCCATGAGGTCTGCAACTTGGCGTTGATAGAGTGGGTAGTCGACGCCAGGAAACGCGCGGGCGGTCGGGGAGCCGGATGAAATGGCTACCTTGCTGAACAATGGTTTGCCAGCATCTTCGCCATAATTGTGGAAGAGGTGAATGCCGACAGAGTGCCCACCAGCACTCTGGCCACTGAGCGTGATCTGGTCTTTGTCGCCTCCAAATTCACCAATGTACTTTTGCAGGAACTCCAATGCCATCCTTTGATCCCGGATCCCCAAGTTCAAGAGGCCTTCTTCCTCCATGAACTTTCCGGGCAGAGTGCCTAGTGCGCCAAGGCGATACTGCACTGTGATTGCCATCAGGGGCTCCGTGCTCTTCTCAACGAACAACGCACCGTCGAAGCTGCGGTGAGAGCCAGAAACAAACGATCCGCCGTGCAAGAACACCAGAGATGGTAGTTTCTTGTCCATGGGGACGCCAGACGTCCGGTATATATTGATGGTGAGGCAAGCTTCCGACTGCTGGAGTGAACCGTACACGTTTTGGAAGCAAGCAGGGCCATTGGACGTAGCGTCCTTGGTGCCGTCAAAAGGCTCTGGCCAGGTGACGGGTTTAAATCGCCCCTTTCCAACGGGCTGAGTAGAGTACTCGACGTTCAGCCATGCATCGACTGGCTGAGTAAAGGTCTCGGTTTTGAGCAAATCCATCATCATCTTGGTTCCTTGGAAGCTGCCATATCCGGGCAGCGTAACACGAAGCGAGTCATCTGGAGTCTCATGAGTGGGAGGGTTTGGTTGTTGTGGCGTCCCAGGCTGTGGCTGGTTTGGCGGGTTGTACGGCCGGGCATAGGTGAAAGCGCCAAAGTACCAGAAGAGCAGCACGGTGGTGCCTGAGAAAATCATGATGATGGCCAGTCTCCGCTTGAGCCATCTTGGGGAGAAATGGGCGCCTTTCATAGTGCCGTCGTCGTCCGGTGCTGGTACCGCAATTGCTGGTGCTTCTGCAGACGGGTCAGGCAATCGGCCCGCCATGAGTACCGAAGCGCGCTACTGTCAACGGATGGCGGAGAGACTGCGGGGCTTCGGGCGCGATGTAACTATTTCAACGTTAAGTCTGGGGTCAGTTGACTCTCTGTGGCGCTAGTGGGAGCGGTGGACAGTACGCGATGCGGCAGTAGGTTGGTGTTGAGGGTTGAGATTAGGCATAGGCCGAGGCTGCATGACGTTGCCAAGCCGTGTTAGCTCGACGGCCGAGTCAGAATCTGGGGCGGCCATGGGCGTTGAACGCCGTGTCACGAACAGGTTGCCGTTGCCCATGACCGATACTTGGTCTAGCGATGAAAATTTGTCCCTTGTTCCTCGCTCCGATATACACCGGGACCTGGCTAGACCCCTTGGCCCAGCAGACGTGTCAGGGCTATGCTGGCTCGGCATCGCGAGGTAAGTACCTATATGCCAGCCGAGCTTGTGGACAGGCCTTGTTTTACCTATTGTCTCCCTCTCACCAAAGCACCGCCTACATGACGGAACAACAGCAGCCGCCGCAGGAATCTGCAGTGGAACCCAACAGCCGTGTGCGGAGGAGGCGCGTGACCATTCCTACTACTGCAAGGGAGAAGTCGACTGTGTCCGGCTCATCTGCGCCCCGCAATGCTAGCGTCCATTGAACCAAAGGCTATATCTGGGGCGGCGATTCTTCTGGCGCCGAAGAGTATACCGGCACAGATATATAGCTAAACAATTTCATTTCGCCGTTGAGGGATTAAGCAAGACACACCAGATGGGCCAGCAGAATTCATATCAACCCGTACTAACACTATAGCATATTTAACGCTCATTGTCCCTGCGCTGCAAATTCTTTCTCTACTGCATCCGCCATATCCGCTAGGGTATCGAACTTCCAGGTGTAGACCGGATCATCGCGGTTGCCCATGACAGCGCCAGGTCTGTAAATCCACGAACTCCTAATGCCCATGTCTTTGGCCGGATGGTGGTCGTGGTACTGCGACTGCGCCGTTTGCAGTACCTCGTGCTTCTCGACGCCAAACTCGTCCTTGACGTGGCTGAGCATGTACTCGAAATTCCGGGGGTCGGGCTTGTACGAGCCAATGTCCTGGGCCGTGTATACAGCATCGAACTTGTAGCCCTTGAGCCCATTTGCATTTCCCCTCTTGAAAGAGTCATGGTCGACGTTGGATAGGACAACCAACTTGTAAAACTTGGACAGCCGCTCTAGTGCCGACGGGATATCCGCAAATCCAGGCCAGTCGCCGATACTGGCTCCAAACTGCTTGCACTCTTCTTCACTCGGTTTCTCTAGCCCTAGTGCTTCGGACAGCTCAGGAAGAACCATCTCGAGGACTTGAGAGTACTTGAGATGGCCGTGTTCCCGCTCAACGCGCGCCTCGATCCTGTGCATGGTCTGCATTATGTGCTTTCGGTCCATGTCCTCTTTGCCGGACTTTTTGACATGGGGCTGGAGTGCAATCAGAGCTCCCGCCTCCCAATCGATCAGAGTGCCATAAACGTCAAAAGAGAGGAGTTTGAAGTCGGTAAGTTTAGCCATGCTGTGTAGGGGTGGGTAGGTTGGGGACAAAGATGTTAGAGTGTCAGATTAAGCAGGTGGTGGTTTTCCGAAAGAGCCGTGGTTTGATCTGAAGATCGAAACAGTTGCAGTCTTGGTGATATATACATATACGTTGGCTGTGCCTTACCCTAGGTTGGAGGCTCCTGGGTGTAACCCCACTTGGTGCATGACGTTAGCAGTGGGGTAATGTTCCAGATAACACGCCCTTTGAACTACATGCCAACAGTCTAATACCCAACATGGTATAAGGCCGAGATTCCGGATTAATACAGACGCTGTACACGCACCGCGAGTTCAAACTGTAGACTTGAACACCACGCACACTGCGCGCTAGGTGCAACAATCTCCCAGGTCGCCGACGAGTAAAGTTTGTTGGCGAAATTTGCTGTGAATCATCGAGCGGCTGGGGAACACGTCGTGTTCAGTGTGGCCCAAGGATAACAGATAAGATTGTGTGGTATTCAACCGTGAGGTCGGACCGATATTTGGACTCGAGAACTACACCGCATCGATGATACTACTCTACATTTCATACGGCAATTCACCAAGCCTTGACTCCAAAACCTCCTTGGTCAGCTTCCACAGGTTACGCTGCAGATTTTCGTCTTGCGCCTGCTTGGATGGCTCTTGCGGCTTCTTGTCGGGAACAATGTACGAGTTCTGGCAAAGTCAGCATCGATTCCAGAATAGGAAATAATATCAAGCATTGTCTTATCCCTGCTCTCATGGATATTGCGGACAATGCTGCTCCAACGAGATGCAATCATGGGGTAGTGACTCACCTGGATCTGGTTCTTCACAATATCAGGCGACGTCGCAGCAAACAGTGCGGGTCGACAGCCTTCAGACACTGGATCCTTCATGAAAGGTCGCACGGCCTTTACTCCAGCCTTGCCAGCGGTGCCATATGCTTCGACAGCCTGATTTTGCTGATCCGTCGACACACCACCAGGATGTGTTGCGTTGATCCACGGCAAACCCGTGCTGTCTGTAACCTGCCCGTATTTGCCGGCCTTGATGAGGGAATACAGCTGGTGGAGGAAAAGAATCTGTGCCAATTTGGTACGGTTGTAGAGCTTGGTGGCACCGATATCCTGGTTGATCTCTTGGATCGACTCAAACTTCATGCTCGAGTCTGAACCCCTGTGCAGTTCGGACGACTGGTGGACGATGCGCGAGTCTGGCGTCTTTTGCAAAATAGGCAACAGGACCAGTGTGAGGTGAGCCTGGGAGAAGACGTTGACCTGCATGTGGCTGTCCAGGCCATCGCGCGTTTCATTGTACACGCCGACACCCAGGCCCGCGTTGCAAATCAACGCATCGAGTCTGCCCAACTCCTTTGCCAGCGATTTGGCTACCTCATCCACTTGCTTTAGGTCTTCGAGGTTACACTTCCGCCACTCCACTTTGCTCGTGTCGCCCCATTCCTTGAGCGCCTCTTGAGCTTCGTCGGCGTGGTCTTCTTTGTTCGAAAGGAGATAGATCTTGGCAGGGTTGTGTTGGAGGAGGTGGGCAACGATCCCATAGCCAATACCAGCGGAGCCGCCAGTCACTACATATACCTGGCTCTATTAGTATCCATGTATGAGTTGTGGGTGGTAATCTTACCCTTCCGCTGAGGTCAGGAATGTCGGTATTAGGGTCGAAGGCGCTCCCAATTGCTTTCTTAATTGTGTCCATGGTGAATCTAGCCGTGGTTTGATGTTGGTTGTGTCTATTTTCTCTGTTCAGTCAGATCCTACAGTAAAATACAAAGTCGTTAGCTGTCGCATCTCATGTCGTCATGATGATTGACACTGGCGCAAGCTGCGCTTCTGGGCCACACAGTAATTGCATGGCGCATCAAGTTGATGTCAGATGTTAGTCAAACAAATCTCGCAAACAGGAATACATCGGTCATGTGTTGTCGATTGCGCTATGCAATGCTCTGTGATATTGCCTAGTCTGAGACTGGACAAGAAGCAGACTTCGGATTCATGGTGCGATATTGCTGCAGACACGTCCATTAGTGTCACAAGGTCTTTCTCTAATATGGCACCACTATTTTGAAAGCACTCCGTGATCTCCGTGTGGACCATCTACCTGAATGTAAACGTTGTGGTACTATATGAGAGGAGACTTTGTGTAGGGAGACAAGGTGTGCTGTGTCGCAATGGCAAATTGATCAGGGCAGCCCCGCACCCGCCAGTGAGGTACGTAGTTTGCCCAAACACAGCAAGCTGCTTTCTTTTCCTCGCCACCAGAGCATTGTATAGACACATGACTATACCAGCTGCCAATAGAATCGACTCAACATTGCAAGTGCAAGAATCTGTACCAAATAGCAATGTACACGGAGAAGAAGTATTATGATTACGGGTTCCTAACAGCTTGACTTGGCGATGCAGCCAACAAACAAAGGCATATTCATGACGAGTCCAAAATCCTGAGTGGGGTATACCTCGAACCAGCCCAATAGTCTGCCGCGCAACATTGTCGCGTTCTCATCCAGTTCTTTAATGCCAATGCGTAAACTCCAAAACAGTAAAGCATACCTCGCGGGATCGTATATATCTTACAGCAAGAAAGCGAGCAAGCGCTCGGATGGCGCATCTGGAAACCAGAAACGCCTCGCTCATTAAAAGTGCCCGATCTAGGAGCAATAGAAAGGTGGTGGTGTTACATATAGTACAGTGACATGCTTGCACAGGCACGTCTCGGTCGCATGCTCGGAAGAGTAAAAGGACTATGAGAAGAAGCCCTTGGTCCTTCCTGGTTTCGGGCTCATAGGCCCAAAGAGCTTCATATCATTGCTCATCTTCTTGACGAAGACAAGGTAGGCTTCCAAAGCCTCGTCCTGCGTCGCAAACGTTTTGTCGCGATTCATCCACATCTTGAGGTATTTGTCGGCACCGACATCTTTCAGTGCGGCGTACCAACCGCCCGAGGATCGCTGTCGCAGGGAAATTGCAAGGCTCTTGCCTTTGAGGGCAGTGACCTTGTGGACTTCGCGCAGACAGGCCTCACGCAGGTCTTCTTCTTCATCTGACTCATCCGAGTCCGACTCAGAGTCCGAGTCGAGCGAGGAAGAGGACGAGCTGTGTTGGACTTTGGATCGAGATGATATACGTGTCTGGAGTCTGGGGCGCGACTTTTTGGGTTCGGGCGCAGGTTTCGACTCGGTCTTCTTTTTGGCGACGATCTTGGGTTCTGGGGCTTTCTTTGGTGGTGCCGCTGCCTTGAGAGTCGGGGGAGACTTTGGTCGCGACTTCTTTTCGCTAGGCTTGGTAGACTTGTCAGCCTTTTCCTTTGAAGACCTGTCCGTCTTTGATACAGTGGAGGCGGCTTTGGTCGGTTTGGATGCCTTTGACGCAGCGGCCTTGGATGGCGTCGACGGCGTCGGCTTTGCTACTGGCGGCGCTGCTCTCGCCTTGAACTGTTCAAATGGACTCGGCCATGCGCCTATGGCTCTTGGTGGCTCTTCGACTGGCGGCGGCGCTTCCTTCTTGGACTTGACGTCTGCCCTGGAGGATTTCAAGGGCGTTTTTGGCTCTGGAGCCGGCTTGGATGTGGCAGCAGCATTATTTGACGCGCCTCTCCTACCAGTGGCGACTGGAGGCGGAGGAGTGGTTGCAGGAATAGCAGTCTCGCCAAATAGTTGCCGCGCTCGGTCCTTTACACTGGGAAACATGGTTTACCAGAGACGTGGTGTGCTGACTCGAGCCAAAGGGGCGCGTGCTGGTTGATGTGTGTAGTGCAGATGGCACAGTGAAGATTAAGAGGTACCGCTATGACAGTGACAAGCGCGGGCATCCAGACGGCGGGCGAGGGTGAGGAGGCAAAGACAGTGCGTAAGTGATGGAGACATTACTGGAGACGTCGGACTAAGATGGCCATGATCCTGGATGCCTGGGCGTGATGCTAGCACGAGGACAAGGCGCGTGCCGCATCGACCAACATGCGAACATGGGTTCACGCTGATGATTTGCGCAAACAAGCTAGCGGCCGCTTCTAGAACGGCTGTGGGCAATGTGTGGAAATGCAGCTTGACCGGGCGCACTTGGTGTAGCACAACACGGGCGATTGAGAGCGCGTCTGGACTAGCACGCACCGACATGTTTGCCCAGCCAGCACATACGAGAGAGAGGTAGCAGCAGTCAATACAACAGCAACAATAACAATGACAGCAACATGGCGACACGCGTTTGGGGCCACGGCCGTCAAAGGGGCCAGGGGCCGTGATTCTCTGGGCAAACCGTGGCCCCTTTCTCGGACCACCGGGCTGTGTGGGAAATTGGCCAGCGGGACGAATGACGGCGCGGCAAAACATGGCGCGGTACGGCGACGACGCCATGTCTCCGCATTCTTGTGTGCTCGGGGTGCAGACGAGTGCTTGTTGATATGATATCTCAAGACAGATGAGATGGCACGAGACGAGACGAACGATCTTGCACGTGCCGCCTGCAGCATGCACGTCACTTGACCTGCAGAGAAAACGCATCGCCATTGCCCATGGGGTTTAGCGGCCCTGACTCTCTTGGCGCGCCTTCTATTTGCAGCGTCGTCTTGTCTCGTCTCGCTGCTACGCGTGGGCCATTGCCGAAACCGAACCATCTTTGGCGGCATCCCAGCTACAAGAAGGACACGAGGGCATGTTCTGGCTTGCTGGGTGAAACCGTCACTTCTTGTTGTGTTCAAGGCGCCGGCGCTTTGATGGGGATTGGTAGAAGCGGCATTTGTGCTCCGAGCCAATGTCGGCTCCCGGAGAGAAGACGCACGACCAGCCATGGGGAAATGATGGGGACAACTCCAAGGACAGATGGTGTTTGGTAAGTGCCGCAGATGACGTCTTTTTAGCAGTCATGTCCATGGACTGGAGCGTGTCGTCTGCCTGCATTGGTCAGCTAAATTGCAATGGAGACTACAAGTGCAGTTGGATGGTAGAAACAGAACAGGCGCAGACGAGCCAACTCAAGCGCGCTAGCGCATGCGCATCCAGTCATGGCCTCGCTCAAAATGCAAACTGCATTAGAGTACTTTCTTACTGCTGGTAGAGTCGCCGTGGAAAATCAGCTGTTGTTGTTTGATCAGAGGCCTTTGTGTGACAACATGTGAAACTGGTCGTAAGCAGCTGGTTGGCAGAAAAGTATTAGCTGCGGCAGCCTGCGGCATCTTCCATTCCATGCAAACAACTACTCCAAGACGGAAAAAAAGCTGATACCGGGATGGACAGCCAAAGAGAAAAAAAAGTAGAAGCCCGACGTGGGGGTCGAACTGGATGCTTGTTAGTTGGGGTACGAAGAATGCAAGAGGGGAAACACATACCCCACAACCTTGAGATACCAATCGAGTCTGGTGGGGACGTGAAAGCTAAGAGTCTCACGCTCTACCGATTGAGCTAGCCGGGCTGTTGCTGCTGTTTGATGCAAAGAAGATGCAGTAGAAATCATAAGTGCTGACCATGGAACGCAGTCTACTCACGCAGCCAGCGTGCAAAAATTAAAATAAAAAAAAGGGCATTGTGGGTATGCGACCGGGCATGGGGTGAAGGAAAATTGGTTAGTGGGACGTCGCTGGTGGCACTAGTGCTGGCGGGACATGAACCATGGTTTTTGCTCGGCAGATTGACATGGCAGGCGAGCAAAAACCAAGCATGTGGAAAAGGGAATAGCGTGCGACTAGCCGGAGCGCAGCGGGCGTTTGGACTTGACGAGGCTATGTATATATGGATGTTGGACATAGTGGGGGCGTCGGTCAGCGAAGTGCATGTTGTCGTTGTCGTCGTGGGCCACCCATGGACGAGGCACGCAAAAGTGGATGCGGGCGCCTATTTTGGGAGTGGCCATGCTGCGGCTAGGGTGGCATTACGAGGTCTGAGGTGCCTGTGCCGGCGTCGAGGACCGGCGTGAGGGAGATGCCGCGCGTACGGCGGCGTCTGGTCGAGAGCTGCGTATCGTGCGCAACGGCGAGGGAAATTGGGATGCGCGTGCGTGTCGCGCAAAAGGACGGCGATGCAGGGCTCTAGGCTTTGGGGGGGGGGGATAAGGAGGAGAGGGAGAGGGAGAGGGAGGCGGCTTGGCGCAGCGTCAGTGAGGCGCGCAATGGCAATGGCTGGAGCACAGCCGCAGTGGCAGCAGTGGCAGAGGCAGAGGCAGAGGCAGAGGCCGCAGAGAACAGCGGACTCGGCGCAATTCGCTGGCTGCCGCGAGACACCAGGGGCGCAGCTGCAGCAGAGTCGCCCGGGGTACAGCAGCAGTCGGAGGAGAGCAAGGCATAGCCATTGGGCCCGTGCCTGCATCGCCTTGGGACGACGAGACGGCCAGCCCACCATTAGCCCGCCAAACGCAACCCATCGCGACACAACCCGTGACTCCTGACGACGACAACGACACCCACGCCGACGACGACAACGCTGTGCCTGCCTGCCCGCCCGCCTCGCTCCCTCTCTCAGCACCCGAAGCCGCGCCCAAGCTCGGGGCGGCCACCGCACTGCTTGCTGGCTGCTGGCTGCTACCCATCCATCCGCCAGGCGTCCGTGTCCCCGCAGCCGTTGAGTGCCGTTGACACCGCTGCCGCCGCGCATCCCATGAAGTAGCTCACCACGCGCCCTGAGCCGACTCCCCCGCCCCCCGACACCAACCACGACGACACGCACGACGACGACGACCCCCACGACATCCGGCCGCCATGGCCAGCCGGCCGCCAGGCGCGCCGTCTCCCAGCGACAACCTCATCGACTTTGACGACCACCAGCCCGCATACTCGTCGGGCCAGCCGCCGCCCGCCCCCGACCACGACCTCCTCCACCGCTACGACATCGACGCCTCGGATGCGCCGCCGCAGGGCCGGCCCTCGGTCTCGTACGATGACTTTGTCGGCGGCCGG